TTGATTAGTGTATATAGAAATCTCTTGTGCGAAATTGAAGTTCCTCGATAGTTGTGACGCAACATAAAAATATTTACTGTACTTAATTGATTGTACCACTTCAAGCGCAAAATGCAAAAAGGGCGTAAATAGCGCGTTTATCCGTACACACATGATGCTTTAATACGTTTTTATAATGCGCAATTCGAATGGTATTTTTGTGACGTTTGAGAATAGACCTTGAAAACACGTTTTATTAAATAATTTTCATTTTTTAAGTACAACAACTTAAGGGTTTTCTGATAACATTGACAATATAAAATGATACTCATTTTATCAGACAACAGTTTATTTTTAAATCAATAATAGAAATCAACTGACTTTCGATAACATTCGAATTCTGGCATTAATTAAACTTTCAATTTTACAAAATAAATTTTGCTAAGTCTTAGAATAAGAGATTCGTGGAACGAGTTTTCGTTGAACATATGAAACAGCTAATTCTTTTTAGTCGTTGCATTGTCGCATATTTGCCATGAGAGTCTAGAAATTAAAGATGTAAGATTTTTAAGTATTCGCAAGTTTTGTTTAATCCTCATGAAAATGCCACTCATTGTACTTTTTAAACATTTCCAAGTGCCAGTTCCAACCTTCTTGAAAGTGTTTTATATTAATTAATCAGAAGATACTTCTAATAATTTATGTTAACAAACCTTCAAACGTTTTCTTATNTGCCCCTATTATCAATAGTTTTCTCTGTTGGTCGTTGATGAAAATAATATGGATGCTTTGTATGTAACATGCTATTGATAAATTATAAAAGCGATCTGCAAACTGGTTGTTTTGTACTAATCGTAAGTTTGCTAGAATTTTAATGAAAAAAAAAATACTTTAGTCTTATATTTTCTAAATTTTTACTGTACTTCTGGTGTTCTGGCAAAAAAGTTGCATAGCTTACAATTGGTTATCCTATTGCATTTTTTCTATTTTAATTTAAAAGGTATTTATGTAGTTATTGTTCACTATTTACATTTTCAAATAATTTGATCAAACGGTATTAGTGACAAAATGTCAGGTGCCAAATGTGACGACGAACTTGCTGAAAAAACACATTCCGACAATGAAGTGCATGAAGGATAAAATGTTCAAAAAAAATATATTTAACTGTTTGGTATATAAGTTGTAATAAAATTGTAAGGGACCGAGAATCAAATTCGCCTCCCTTTGCATACTACGCGCTTGTTTGACTTGATCAAGTTAAATCGTAAGGATTATTTTTATTTTTCAAATTCTATACATGCGATGAACATGGTAATGTTAGTTGTTAAGTCTCCTCACGTAGTTAGTCATTTGTTAGATTTGTTGCACATTCCTAAGTCCGTTTTTAACCACGGGCAATCATTATTATTATTAATGATTATTATTTAGTTGTTACGCATTTTATATTTATATACATATGCTTTTCACGCACCCACCTGCATTATTTGTGAGAAAAAGAGAGTGATTGAGAGAGAAAAAGGGTCAGTAGCTGTGTGTGCTTTTCATAAATCTTATTACATAAGTCTTGAAAGAATTCTGAACTTTTTTAGAAGACATCTTTTAGTGAAACCAGTATTAATATCGCTATTAACTTTAGAAAGAGGCGTAGAGCAAGGCTAAAGTCAGTCGCAATATTAACAATTTTTTGTGGTGATGGTTAATTGTTTTGTGCCATTTAATTACCTTTTTATATGTTTATAACGTCTGTGATCTATCAAAATACGTTTTCTATAATTTAATATTAAGTTTTTCTGTACACAATTCGAATAAGGCAAAGCAGTTGTTAGCGGCATTTTTTAAAATTAATCTTTCATATATTTATTTATGAAATATCTTTTAAGAGTTGTTATAAAGGAAAAAAGACAGAATTCTTTCTAATTTTAAAATAATTTTAAGAGTTACGTTTGCATTTGGAATGCAAAATGGTACTGACATATTTTTACTGCACGTATGGACTACACAGCTTTTATTTGCAATATACTTTAATGAAGCCATAATCAAAATAGGAAAACAAATAGTTCCGTATTCCCACAACAATTTTGAAACAGACAGACATCTACATTTTAATTATTTAGTAGTTTATTTGATGTATCAACTGCACTGCATTTGATGTTGTGATTTTTATTTTTAATAGCACTGTATGCAATAATTTTATTAGCCTTATAGAAGACACTCTTGTAGACCTCATTATGTACGAATCAAAAATACAGGATTTTTACCCCACATTATAAATCGTTTATAAAATATTAAAATTCACGCTAACTCAAGAAATAGTTGGTTTAGTTTCCAATAATATTTTTTAGCAGTTAAAATTTTAAACAAAAATTATTTTTCGTTAATTAATGACAAAATGAAGACTTGTGAATTTATAAAGAAAAAGTAATAAAAAGGAGACGATTTATAATAAAGATTTGCCACTTTTTTGTACACCAAGTACTAAAACTGTGTAGTTATTGAGAGTAAAACATTTATAAGAACAGTAGACCTCATGTAATTTTTTAGTTGTATTTAATTTAAAGTTTTATTCAGGTTTTTTTAGAAAGTAAGTTTAGTACATAAAGGCAATCGACATTTTTTAACGATAAAGCCGACAAAATTAAATTATTGTAGTCTGTGATGAATTGAAGGGTGACTAATCTATTTATTAATAAAATGGTAGGTAGAGTTAGAGGTATTATTAAAACAAGTATTTTTCTAACTAAAATTAAATCTTCCCTTCTGTTAATGTTGAGAATTATGGAGTTTAACTTTTGAAGTTTCTTCTAAAATGAATTGTATAAGTATTGTTATCTTATGTAGTTTTATGTGTCTGTTTCCAAGTATACAAAAAATACATGTACAACATTGTAAGCTTAGAAGTAACATTATTATTAAAAATGTAATCTGTTAGAAACAGAAAAAAATGTAATTTTCCTTCTCTAATTAAAAATGTGAAGCATACAGTTATTTATGGCATTAAAAACTGTAAATTTCACCATATTTCAATAAAATAAAAAAATTCTCATGGGATAAATAAAAACGAAGTTGCGTATTAGTTCTCCTGTATATTTAATCTAAAATTGAAAAAATAAACTAACTGACAGGAAAGCATCTTTTGTTTTTCATTCTTAATTAAAACTGAATAGTTAAAATTAAAATTCACGGTCTCGCGTAATATACCGTAATACATGCAAAATCGTATGGCGCCAAAAGTTTAACTGTAAGACGCACTTTCCCGGCCTTTTAGTTAATTTCATTGGCTATCCTGGCAAAACGGTTGTGATGGCAATCATGAATATCAATAGATCTCTCATCTATGATCTTATCATATTTATATGATATCTATGGTCCGAAGTAGGTTTGATAGTTTGGTAATAAAATTAAGGATTTATTATTATCTATGGATTTATTTGTGATACGGAGCACTGAACGAGTATTATATGGAGTGTTACTATAATATGAGAAACGGCGATAAGTGAATTGATACTAGGCTTATTGTGTATTATTAGAGTTACTTAAATTACAAGTAATTGTCGATCTTACTATTGTGACGGTCATCATTTGCCCCTATTATCAATAGTTTTCTCTGTTGGTCGTTGATGAAAATAATATGGATGCTTTGTATGTAACATGCTATTGATAAATTATAAAAGCGATCTGCAAACTGGTTGTTTTGTACTAATCGTAAGTTTGCTAGAATTTTAATGAAAAAAAAAATACTTTAGTCTTATATTTTCTAAATTTTTACTGTACTTCTGGTGTTCTGGCAAAAAAGTTGCATAGCTTACAATTGGTTATCCTATTGCATTTTTTCTATTTTAATTTAAAAGGTATTTATGTAGTTATTGTTCACTATTTACATTTTCAAATAATTTGATCAAACGGTATTAGTGACAAAATGTCAGGTGCCAAATGTGACGACGAACTTGCTGAAAAAACACATTCCGACAATGAAGTGCATGAAGGAGGCGATGAAGAAGACATACCAGAAGATTTCTTTGACGATTTTTCCAATCAAGATTTTATGGCAGGTTTGGATGTTGTTGATGCTTGGGATGATGAAGAAACAAACGATCTGAAGAAAAGTGATAGTGAGAATACTTCCAAAGATCTTACAGAGAAAGACAAGAATGGTAGTAAAAGTAAAGAGTTAAAAAAATCTGAACAAAAACAAGAATCTCGTAAGACTGATAGAAGGCGAAGAAGTTCAAGAGAAAGAAGATATTATAGATCAAGAGCTGCATCTAGAGATCGCCATTCAGAAGACCGTCTTAAAAATACTAACTCAAGGGAACTACGTGAAGAAAGGAGGAGACGTGAAAGGAGTTCTGATCGTAGACGGGATCCAGAAAAAACAAGGAGAGATATTCAGAGGGATAAAGATAGGCGAACAAAAGATGAAGAGGCCAAAATAATTTCTGAAAAATTAAGGATGGTAGAAACAGGACTAGTGCCACCAGGAATGGAAATGGACATGGATATAACTACTGTTAAAACAGCAATATCAGACTCAAAAGATGAAAATACACCTAACAAACTTTCTCAGGAGAAACTCTCATTTGAAAATCAACCAACAGGTGATGAGAATCAAGTACGAAAATCAAAGCGATCAAGTTCTAAGAGTATGGATTTTCGTCGATTAGGTTTTAGTCCCCCAGCAAGTTATAATATTTATGGTAAAAGGAGTCCCACCCATAAGAGCCCCTTGAAGATAAGAGGAAAGTCGCGTTCAAGATCACTTCGAAGATCGTATCGTGGACGACGCTCTCGTTCTCGTTCTTTCGGCAGAGGAAGATCTCCAGTGTATCTAAGAAAACGATCAAGTCCATCACGATATTATAATAGCGGTAAGCTAACGAAATCTCCATCCCCAGGCAGAAAACGCAGAAGAAGTTATAAGAGCCCTGACTCTGACGTGTCTGACCGTGAGGTATGGTTGCAACGAAGAAGAGAAGAACTTAGAAGGAGTACTTCCCTAGAATTAGATAATTGGCCTTATAAAAGGGAAAATTCTTCGTCTAACCTACGCCGTCATAGGGATTTTTTGGAAGACTTGGAACGGAAATTGAAAAAAGAAAGAAGCAAGGATAAGAAGAAAAGGGATTTTCTACGAGAGATCCATAAAAAATTAAATGAAACTGGAAATAGTACTGAAAATAATTCAAATGTAGTTAGATATACTGCATTTCCTACACAAATCCCTGGTCCAGGTGGACCAGTACATCTTCATCCTAATTTTATGCCTGTGCCCCACCCTATTGCTCCTTCTATTCATATTCCTGTAAATCCAATGATGATAAACCAAATATCCTTACCAGGACCACCAGGTGCAGAGTTTGGACCTGGTCCAGGTGCTGGGTCAATCCAAAATTCATTTAATCCTGGTTTTGGGCCCCATAGAATGACAACACCTGTTCCTGCTCCTTACAATAGACCTGAAGACTCCCAGTACAATGAACAATTCTTTATTGGCCACCCAAGCGAAACTGCACTATCATCAACAGTTAATATTTCCTTAAATACTCAGAACTCTTCGAAAAATATTAAAACTCAAAATACAGTGACTATGAAAAATTCAGAAATTTCAATTGCCGATTTGAAAAATAAAGACACAGTAAAGAAGGTAGGAGTTTTTTATATTTTAATTTTACTTATAGGTACAAATAATAATGACTATGTTACAGTTGTTTGAAGAAAAGAAGATCAGTTTGGCGGATTATTTAAGCTTAACTGCCACAGAATCAGGTACCTATAGTAAATATAATTTGCTGTAATTATTGAATTGCCAATAACAGTAGTTAAAATTACAACTTTTAAACGTTTAGGCGATTACTATAACGAAAGCATTAAAATAGAGAAAATGTAGAATTCGTTTTATTAAATAAAAGACAAATATTAGCAAAAATAATGAAAACTTATAGGTGATTCAATTAAAAATTAAACTTGCAACTTTTACTTATAGACCATATTTAGAAATTTATTGTACGGATGGTATATTTTGTATTTATAAATTTGTTTGTATGTTTAGATCCTTCAAAGCCTGTCGACATTCAAAATAAAATACGAGGTTAGTACATTCCAACACCTTTACTTATGTGTATTAATGTATGATTATAACTTTTTTATTGTATTCTTATTTCGTATTCTTTGTTTCGCCTGTAATATTCCATGTAAATTTCAGTTATTTCGCGCTGTCAAGATGCAATTAAAGCACTCGATAAACCGTTACCTGTAGATGGCCGTTTTGTATTGAAGAAAAGTGAACAAAAATTCATCGATAAAATTTCAGAAGCAAAAGGATTATCGCCATTACGAAAAATTCCAGTTGTACGTTTTCAGTTTACAACCCCGAGTAAGGGTAATGAAGACAAGACTACTTTCAGTCGGACCCTTGAAAAGGTGTTAGTTAGTATTGGTTTAGGTAATTCTAAAGATGCATCATCTTCCCAGGATCCCATGTCAATCGATACCATTTCATCGGCGAATATAAATGTAAATACCATAAAATCGTCGTTTGTAAAAACAAAACCCGTTCGTGCTCAAGATTTCATGACTGGTGTTAAACGTCATACGAAAATGTGTCAGACCCCCATGTTCTTAATGAAGTGTCAGATATGTGAAATCAGAAGCGCGCGTACTTATGAATCGGTCGCAATTCAGTGCAACATTAGGAATACCGTGGATATGGGCGTACAATGTACGGAAGAGAAGCCCAACTATCAAGATGCCTTCAAAGCCCAATCTCTGGTTCATCTCACCCCAGCCCAAATTTTGAAGCAAATGGGAGGAAAAAGTGAACCTTTTCCGGGAAATCAAAATGGAAGCAAATTCGATCAAGCAAGAAGTCGATTAACAAATGATTGGTTTAGTGGAACTCGCGATTTGGGTAATAGCATCGACGGAAATATTGAAAATCCATTGAATAGACAGCAAATGCCATTACCATTTGAAAGATCTTTTAGCAGACCTCAACCATTTGACAATCGAATTCAAACAGTGACTGACAGACCGACTCAAATCTTAGACAGACATCAGAACATTGACAGACAATTGCTAGTGAATCAACCACAAATGGTTATGCAACAAGGACAAGGCTTGCATGATGTATTAAATAATCAGTTCATGCAAGCTGGTGGTATACCGAATCTACTAAATATGAATATAATGCCTCCAAGAAATCGATCCAATTTTAATCCTTTCCTGTAATTTTTTCACGTTGCAGTATAAAAATACTTTAGCAAATAGCGGCCGTTTTATGTTTTAATAACAAGTAATGTATATACATATTTAAAACACTATAATGGATTAATTAAAATACAC